GAGTTCTACTTCACCAATTCTTCAATTCCTCTTATTCTCTTTCTTTCTCTAGAGTTTGAAAACACTCTCTCTCTCTCTCTCTCTCTCTATAATTTTAGCAAAATGTTGATTATGAACTTTTCGCTACTCTTATATCATATATATATATATATATATTTTAGATTAGTTCAAATTAATTAAGCTAGCTTAAGACTAATTAACCCCACTCAATTCTAATGATTTATTCTAAAAACTTCCCAAAAAGTTCTAAATATTTAAATTAGCCTATTTAACTCATCAATTTCTATTTATGGATTCATTTAGGCCTTCAATTTCAAATTCGAATATGATTTTTCAATAGATATTCCAAAAACAAACAGATATAAGAAAAAATTAAAGCACACAAACATGCAATTTCACATAATAATAATGCACTTAATGATATGCATGTCGGTGCCGTCACAGAGAGAGTGAAAAAATTTGATAAAGAAACTTTCTAGAGAGAGAGAGAGATCAAAAAGTAAAAGAAAATATCATTTTCCCATATTGATATACGCACAGACCGCTTGAGCAATCGAAACACTGCTAGAGCATCAAACACACGGAATCGTTCGAGCGACCAAATCATGGCTCGAGCGTACAATGACCCCCTTCCAATAGTTCAGACCTACAAAGATACCGCTCGGGCGAAAGAAATACCGCTTAAGCGGTAGATACAAAAAATCTCTCGAGTGACCAAACTATTGCTCGAGCGAAGAACACCCCATTCCCAAAAGTTCAGACTACAAATACAGATACTGAAAGGAACCAAAGATCATTCGAGCACTCCTAAAAAGAACCCAACAAAATCCCTTTTAAAAAATAACTCCCAACCTATTTCAAACAATCTCACAACCATAATATCAACTCCCTAAACAACAATATAAGAAAAGAATGGGCATAAACAACCACAATGAACACCATATTCTGAATGAAAGAGTATAAAGGGTCGGGTCTTAACTTGGGCCGCTATATCATACAATAGTACATTTATATCCAAAAATCTCTAACTCATACAAACCCATTACTACAAAAATAATACACAATCATACCAAATCATAGATATATAAAGTTAAGAGAACTCCTACCTCAAAGATGAGAGTGAATAGGTGAAGACCTAAACTTTGACGATGATGAAAATGTGATCTACTAGGCTCAAAATGTTGATATCAATGCATTTTACGTTTTTGCCTCAAGAACTAGGGGTAGATTTTAAGAAAAATAAGATGAAATCTATGCTTGAAAAGCTTGGTGGTTCGAAAATGGGAGAAGAAGAGAGAAGAGAGAGATTGAAAGTGAAAAATGATAAGAAATCTGACCAAAAAGGTGATTTAAACCGCTCGAGTGGTCAAATCTGAGCTCGAACGATGAATGGAGGCTTGCAGTATCTCTACTTTTACGAACAGACCACTTGAGCGGTCAAATGTGTACTCGAGAGGTGAATCAATACTGGTAGGATCTCTCTCCAATTTAAATTTCAGAGATGCCACAGTCTATAGACCGCTTGAGTGGTCAAACTTGCACTCAAACAGACTATAACCATAGCTCAGGTGTGTAAATTTTGAATGGACATAACTCTCTCGTCCAAACTCCATTTTGGGTCGTTCTTATATCTAATTTGAAACCTCAGAAATAAGCTTTCCAATGGTTTTAGTCTCGCATCAAAATTCAAAGTGTGGAGAGAGAAAATTATAAAAGAGTGATGACTACTCAAAGGACGATTATCTGTATCAAGGCTTTTAGTTCAATTCTACCCTACCATCACAATACCACACCAATCAACACTCTGATGTCGATCAAGGAGGTTCTAATTATAATAATAAGAGAATCAAAATAAATTTCACTAGCTCAAGGAGGACAAAGTGTTACAAATTCTTTCAAATTTGCAAGACTCATTGTATTTTTTTGAAACTTTAAGAGAGGTGAGTGTAATTTACCAAAAAAGTTAATAAAGTCAAAAGAAAAAAACTTAAAATTAAAACGTCATCAAAATATTTAAAAAAAAAACTAAAAAAATAAGATATGCACCTAAGTCATTCATGTTTTTTCATATAATTAAAAAAGTTATTCTCAAACAAATTTGTTTTATTTGATTTGATTTTTAGAATTAATTTTTGTAAATTTGTTTCAAAAAATTGAAAATTAATTTGATGTAAAAAAATATAAAATACTCATCATATTCACATGATTTTATCTTTTTTGGGACAAAATTTCTAAAAAATGAAGAAATATCTTTAAAGTGTTTATTTTTGTGAAACTAATTTGTATTAAAAAAAAATCAAACAGAATCATTAATTATTTTTTTCACCTCATGAAAAAAATAAAAAATCACTTAAAAAAAGAAATGAAAAGAAAAGAAAAGAAAAGAAAAGAGCCAACCCCTAAACTACGTCAGAATCTGAAACAATAGTCATATCTTTTAGCCTTTGTTTGGTAAGATGGTGGAGACTAATTTACATACTAAAATATAAAATAGGCAAAAAAGTCAGTAAGATAAAATATCACATTTCAAACCATAATCATTTTACCTTCTTTTTTTTTCCCCCCCCTGACAAAACTACAAAAAAATTAAAAGTTTAGCCCAAACGAAATTTTTTTAGCCAGACTAAAATAGTCAAAAAGTTAGACTAAAAATGTTTTTCCTACATAAAGCCTTAAAAGGAGGGCTACTAACTGCCCAAACCTTTTTACTTTGGACCCCCCATTTTTTAATTTCATTTTATTACAATTTTGTCCTAACGTCAAATTTCAATTTTGTCTCCATCCTCATCTTCCCAAGTCTAACTTTAACCCTAATATTACCACCACTTCCATTCCTACTAACACCTTCCAGCGACCAACCCACCACCACTTCCATTTTCGCCAAGTGCCTCTAAACTACCACTTCCACTTCCTACCGTCACGACACCCACTCTCTATGACCTTGATTATCGCAATCTTTATCCTCACCAACAACCTAGATTCAAAACCAGATAGATGAGCAACCCAGATTAATTAACTTTCTTTTGCAATCTTCATCTTCGTTCTCTGGAACCTACTCTCTTTTCTCTTTTTCGTGCGCGACTCTTTTTTTCTCTTCCCGTCGATTTCTCTTTTACCTCACAGTATGGTCGATTTCTCTTTGTTTAGTTACACAAAGCCGAACTTGTTAAATATGTTCGGTGCTCCACAACTAAACATATGCCTTTTGTTTGGATATATACTACTGAACATTAGGCTTTTGTTCAGAATTGGTTTTTCGAGAGGCGGTGAGAGTGGTTGTGAAGGCAAAAAGAGGAGTCGTGGTGCCTGCTAGAATGTGAGAGAAGTCCTAGAAGAGCGAGGGTCGAAATCAGAAGGAAAAGTAGGGGGTTGTTCGTAATGGAGGGACGTTGGGAGTCGTCGGAGTGAGGGGGGAACAGTTGGAGGAAGGAAAAAGGAGTTACATGTGTAGGAGTGGGGTTCAGAGGGTATATTTGGGATTATGGTAGGGTCCAAAAAAATAAAAACTAAAAATAAAGAGAGAAACAATTTTGATGGTGGGGGCCAAAGAATTGGAAAGTCCAAAATAAAAAGATAGAAACATTTAGGTAGCGTTTGGTAACGTTTACGTTTTTGGTTTATATTTCCAAAATTTTTATAAACTTGTTTATTTTTAGAAAAATATAAACTACAAACGCGTTTGGTTTGAACAAAAAGTTGAAAAATTTTAAAAACATAAACTAAAAAATATGTTTGTTCAGGTCTAAAATATTTATATTTATATTTTATTATTTATGACAATGGGATCATACACATTATAATTGAAAAAAAATTAATTGGAAAAAAAATTATCTGAAAAAAAACTTAATTGGAAAAAAAAATTATTTGAAAAAAAATTAATTGAAAAAAAAATAATTGGAAAAAATTATTTGAAAAAAAAATTTAATTAAAAAAAATTGTTAGTCAAAATTTTAAATTTCTATTTAAAAACTAACGTAAACTCATTTTATGAGTTTACATTTTTTTCTTAAATTTATAAACTGAGCCAATCATTTATAAATTAAAAAAATTATCAAATAAATTTTTATGACAATTTTTAAAATTTTTATAAATATAAACTAGAAATTAAAAACGAAATACACTTAAAAAGTCATCTTTAAAAAGGGGAACTTACCAATAAGTTCTATCTACAAAATTCAAGACCCATCTAATCCTCAAACAAAACACTTGCACCAATTAGTCTTATAAATTTTTAATTGTTACTAAATTTTTTTTTATTTAATTTACAAACACTGTTATATCCTACTACCGTCGGACTTCCGTCAAACGGTCATCGGAGACTCGTTGGAATGTTCAACATCACCAGGAAGTCGCCGGAGTATCGTCGAGAAGTCGCCGAAGTATCGCCGGAAGTTCATCGGAGTGTTAAGAATGTTTACTGAAAAAGAAAATGTAGAAAAAGAAAAAGAGTTCATCGCCAGTGTTATTTCTTAAAAATTTTCTCCATTAAAGTAGAAAAAGAGAAGTGTATAGCAGAAAAAATGTAGAAAAAAATAAGAGATCGAAGGAGAAAGGCAGATATAGAGAGAGAATTGTACTCCGACAACTATTTTTTGTTTAGATCTAGCTAAATTTGATCTAAGTAGATCTACTCATCTTCTTTGTCGGAAATATATCTTCTTTACAGTCGGTGAGGGTGAAGTAAAGAGTCGGCGGTCGGTGATTGTCGGTAAATTCCAATCGATGGTAGTCGTTGGTCGTCGGTGACTATATATCAAAAAGAGAAAGAGAAGAAGTAAGATATGGTTACCCGTCAACGATTACCGAAATCACAAAGATCAAAAGAGACAGAAAAGAAGAGAGGCAGAGAAGAAGAATAACACTATAGGACTTTTGGGTATAACTAAAAGATTATGGGATTAAATAGACTATACGTTTTTCAAAAAAGACTTCTCGGTAGTTTTTCCCATTAAAAATAAGCCAAACTGGTCCTTAAGTTTGCCCAGTTCCAATAGGCCCACAAACTTTCTCATCCCTCTAAAACCCTCGTCACTTCTTCAATCTAGAGAGAGAGAGCGAGAGTCAAACAAATTTGGAAATATCGGGATATAGATAGCGACTGGCACACGGACAGATAGAGGGAGAGATGGAAATCGAAACCCTAGGGACGCAAATCTATTGAATAAGGTTTGCTTTTACTCTGATTGAAGTTTATATCTTTCATGCATTTGGCTAGGTATCTATTTCTATACTATATATATATATACCTATATCGTGCGTTTTCTTGGATTTAAGAGTCTGAATGCGATTGATTTGGTTTAACTTTGATTAACCGAGAAGTTTTGACATGGGATCGCTTAATATGTTGCTGTTTCTACTTTGATTTAGACTGGTCCGTCTATCCACTTGTTTGCTAAAAGTTCCAACTAGAAACCCAGAAATTTGAAGTGAAATTTTGGAGGAGAAAGAAAATGTGTTTTAGATATTTGACAAATTCAAGAAAAATTGAAAACTCAGGTTTTCGATTTGTCAACCCATACAATGGAATTGAAGAAGTTGCCATTTCCTACTTAAAAGTGTGAAAGCAACCAAATTTCTTGCTCTTAGTGAAAGCCCAGTGAAATTTTGGAGGAGAAGGGAACTCTTTCTTTCTTTCTTTCTGTTTTAGATTATTTGACAAATTCAGGAATAAAAGAAAATAAAAATAAGGTTTTGGATTTGTAAACCCATATGATGGAATTGAAGTTTTCATTTCCTACATGATTTGTGAAAGCAACCAAATTTCTCTCTCCAAGTCAAGGCCCAGAAATTTGAAGTGAATTTTTAGAGGGGAAAGGCCCAGAAATTGGATCTTGGATTTGTGGATCCATATGATGGAATTGAAGAAGTTATCATTTTTACTTAATTTGTGAAAGCAACCAAATTTCTTGCTCCACTTTCTTGGTTAAGGTTCAATGCGAAATTGTGCTTTAAAAATAATTCCCTACATGTACACATTGAAAATTGCATGACCCCGATATATATTTTTGCATTCCCATATGCGTTACATTCTGGTCCACTTCTTTTGTACTGAATACTTCACTGCTGTTTGAAATTACCATTTATGGGTCATACTTTTAAATATTGGTTTCTTTTTAAATATAAGTTTTTCTCCCATGCTTTTTTTGGGGTGGGGAATCGCGAGTAGCTCTTAATATTTGACTTGAGCAAAACAACCATGAAAATCTTAGTACCTATGAGGATTAACACCATTCTAAGGTATTTCTCTTTTATGTCATAGTTACTTTCTATTCTACAATCCTTCAATGTTTTCATTGGTGGATGTCACACATCTGTATATTGTTTTTTCTTTTTTGCCTTTAGGTTCATTTAGCTGTCATTGTTGTATTTTTAGTGACAAAATTAGATATTTATTGTTGAATTATACTGTCCTTTTGGGACCAAAATTTTTGTGTCTGAAAGGAAACTTTTTTGGCATTAAATTGTTGCCCCCTAAAAGTGCATTTATTAGTGACATTTTTAAAATTTTGCCGCTAAAAGTAGGGGTGCAAATGAACTGAACTGTTCATGAACAGGCTTGGCTTGTTAAGGGCTCGGTTCAGCTCGTTTAGTAAACGAACCGAGTTTGAGCTTGAATATTAGGCTCGTTTAGTAACCGAGCCAACCTCAAGCTTGAATAAGCTGGGTTGGTTTATCTTTATTTAAATTATATAATAAATGTATTATTTATATATTGAATAATATATAAATAATATGTTAAATAATATAAATATTAATTTTTATTTAAATAATATAGATAATATGTTAAAAAAAAATCTTATCGAGCCGAGCCCGAGTTCGAGTTTGAGTTCATTAATATTAACGAGTAGAGCTGAGCTCGAGCTTAGCTCAATAAACGAGCTCGATAAGCAAACGAGCCGACCTTGAGCTTAGCAAAGTTTGCCTCAGCTCCGCTTGGCTCGTTTGCAGCCCTAACTAAAAGTTCTTTTTTTTTTTTTTTAAAAAAACTTTTGGGGACGACCTTTTAGGTACGACGCTTGTGATGACAGGAATTGTCCCTAAATGTTTCTTTTAGCAAAATGTTTCACTTTTGGGGACAAACAAAATTTTGGTTCTTATATGTTGTGGTGAACAAAACAATCTTTAATATCTTTATAGAAAATAACAAACAAAAGGAATGAAGTTTTAATTCTGCAAATCAAAATTGCTAAGCTTTGCTAAGAGTCTTAATTATGACTATCAAAAGATATGTAATTAAAAAAAAAAAAAATCTTACCACAAGCAAAATATCACTTGTCTGAAAAGATTTTTGCCTATAAGTTGAATATACTCTCCTTTCGTCATGGATAACCTTTTTTTGAGGGTTTTTGTATGGCCCCTCTGCTTCAGATTTCAACATGTGTCTTTTTGTTGATTTCTGTCTCTATATTTTATTTTATTATTTTATTTACAAATATTTTGTTGGCCTTTTTCTTTACTTGTGTTACCAAAAAACACTAATACTCTAAACCCTATAAGTTAAATATACTCTCCATTCATTATGGATAACCTTTTTTTGAGGGTTTTTCTATGGCCCCTCCTCAGATTTTAATGCGTGTCATTTTGTTGGCTTTTGTCTCTATATTTTATTTTATTATTTTATTTATAAATATTTTGTTGGCCTTTTCCTTTACTTGTGTTACCGAAAAAACACTAATACCCTAACTAATTATGTATTGATATGTACGTTCTGAAACATGGTACATTTTCGTTCCAAAACGGTAAATTTAGTAATCCGAAGCGATCCCAAAAGTTTTTTTCAATATATTTCCTTAAATGTTTTTTAAGAGGAAAAAAATCAAATATAATGAACTAAAATATAAGGTGAGTTAAGTTTTGACAAGATAAAACATAAAAAATGAGCCATAATGCTTGTAGAAATGTTTTGCTACATGAAAAAATAATTACATTTTATTGGATGTCTAATAGTTAAAAGAAAATTACTCTAGAAGTATCTTAGGCTCTGTTTGTTTGGGGTTATAGGAAGGGGATTGGAATTACTAATCCCTTGGTATTACTAACGGGGTGTTTGTTTTGAGAGATGGGGAGGGGGACTATTAATCCCTTGGGTATTAGTAGTCCCCTTGGAAGGGGGATTAGTAAGGAGGAGATAGAGATGGTATTAGAAAAATAGTGAGGGGATTAGAAATTTTTTTATTTTTTATATATTGGGAATTTTTTTTTAAATATTAATGTTTAATTTTTTATATTTTTTATTTGTTTTATTATTTTATATAAAAATAATTTAACAATTCCTCACTATCAATCCCCTCACTATTAATCCCCTCACTATGAATTCCCTCCATTCTATTTCTGAAAACAAACGGGGCCTTAAATTCTTAAATATAATATATACAAGTCTACCCCTATCGTATCACGTTCCCGTTTCCATTCCACGAACCGGAACGACTCACGTTCCAGGTAACATATACTATTGTCAAATACAAACTTTCTACATGTCATGTCAAATTCAAAAGTGGCATTAAAAATTCAATTTTATGAGTGCTTAATTATGTAAAAGGTTCAATTTATGATTGATTTTTGAAAAACGATGTAATGGTTGCTAGCAATTCAATCATGTGTTGTTTGCCTTGTTGGAGACCATTGACACTGTATATCGCATTATGGTCTATCATGTAGCGCCTTTTTTAGCGAACACTATTTTGTTGTGTATCTTAATTTGGTATTTGCTGTCTTGAAGGAGCCTACCGATATTTTTCTCATTAATTTTGGGTCAGTACAATATTTTCGTCATTAATTATGGTTAGTAGCCCACATTTTGAAGTAAATTGGCCCAAAATGAGCCGGTTTCGAACTTATTTTCTCATTGTTAATAGCCAATTTCAAAGAAAACAAAAACTGTATGGCTTTATTTGCTCAAAAACAAAAATTGTAACTTCAGCAGTATTCATCAATAACATCAAAACTTTAAATCAATTACCTGAAGCTTAAATACCCAGAATTTGAAAATTCAATATACACAATTTGAAAATAACATTAAAAATGGCTAAATAGCCTACCTGCCACAAAAAATAAGTTTTAACTACTTGCTAAAGATCCAGAATTCAAAAGCTAAATGTCCTAAATATCCAAAATTTAAAAGCTAAAGCTAGTTCCTAAAAGCCAAATTTCCTGTAAGTGTAAGGTTGACTGGACTCTAGCAGCTGGTTAAGCAGTTGGCTAAGGCACGAGGCACTGAACATTGAACAATACAACTTATTACAAAAATTAAAAAACATAGCCAGCAACAGCCATAGTATTGCCAGCTACAAAATAAAAAGTTAAAAAAAGAAAGCAACCCAAGTCTGTTATTGTTTAGAATTAGTTACATTAATCCATATGAGAAACTAGAATACTACTACTGGCTATACAAAGGACAAAAAAATGTTGTGCATTAAAAACCAGAAATCTGTGCTTCTACATGCTCTTGCTTTGTATAAGAAAGAAATTGAAATTCAATTTGAGATTCTAAATACAAAGGGAAAAGATACAAAAATGTAAGCAACATTTTATACAATTTCTTTATGAAGCCGTTTTCAATGCTATAACCCCAAGGGTTTGGCCAAACGGGTATAAAGACTTGAGGATAATATCTAAGGTCTCAAGTTTGTGTCACTTGGAGGTTTGCCCAGTCGTTAACTTTAGGGCTCTAGGATTAGTGGTGTGCAAAAGCTGCCTTGGATACTCAGTTATCAAAAATAAAAAAAAATGATAATAATAATAAAAATGCTAAACATTAATAGTGCTTGTTGGGGTTGGGCTTGAGCTTGTGTTTGATCCTAGAAAAACCGAAAATAAGTAATAGTCAATATTGATCGCAGAAATTTATAGAAAGTTAACTACACACTATTACCTGATTTCCACTATTATCAAATCGAGAATCGTATCTTTAATCAAAATCCTAACTTTGTGAATTGTGAATCAAATCCAATTGAGAATCGTTAAGATTCAATGCAAATTATAAAAAAATGATGTTACATAATCGTCTATATGAAAATAATAAAATAAATTGATTTTGTTATGTTTTAGAATAGCAACAAAAAGAAATTTATTTATTAATTAAAAAGATATGACAAAGGGAGGACAAGGTGTCCTCATACAAGAGAAAACAACAAAGACAAAAGAAGACGATAAATAAGTAAGCATTCCAAAAAACTAAAGATTGACAAATAGCTATCCAATCCTTGGAAATCATAAAAAGCGGAACTCCTTTAAATGGGGAGAGAAATAAGCCCAAAAAGAAGCCAAGTGACATGCCTTCCCCCATAATGCATCCGAATCTGCCTCCTTGTCTTCAAAAATTCGTTCATCCCTCTCCAACCAAATAATCTAGAAGATAGCAAAGACAATGTAGGACCACAATGATTTGGCTTTTCTATTGCCACAAAGGCCCCAAAAATCAATTAAAAGCATATGCGTACAAACACTTGGAGGATTCTAGAAAGACTCTGACCAAGGATCTCCCCCCAATAGTAACCCCAAATACTTGAAAGGTAATTAATTCTCAATGGGACATCCTTAAATGTTTGCCACCTCTTGGACATAACCTTGCTTCAGATTAATACCAACAACTAGGGATGGCAACGGGGGGGTGGGTATGGGTTGGGGGACCCTTACTGCACCCCCACTCTTGTTTTGTGAACATTGTCTCATTCTTGACCCTACCCGACCTCTCTCCCACTCTCGTCCCACCCCCACTTAGTATAATCCCACCCTGACCCTCCTGCTCAATATAACTTTACAACTTATATTTTTAGTATTGAATTTTAATTTTATAACTTTGGATGAAAAATTACTTATATATAACAATTGGTGTTGTTTGACATTGATTTTAGTGGAATTGTAGAATAAATGGAGAGAGAAAAGTGTGGTATCATCAAGAAAACTTAAAATAGAAGGAAAAAAAATGATCCATAATTTTTTTATATCATTCAAAAATAATAAAAATATATAAAAAAATGAGACATTTTTTTAATAATACATAATACATATAATTGAGTCGGGATTATCCTCCCCATACCTGACTCGAATCCTATCGGGTCTTTTATTCTCACCCCAAACCTGACCCTAGCCTATTGAGAAACTCCCAAACCCATTTTATTAGGTTTGGAGAGGGTCGGGGTGTTTTGCCATCCTCAACAACACTACTCTTATGAAGATTGACCTTAAGACAAGACACAATTTTAATTAAAAATTCTTATAAGTGCTAAAAGATTACC